CAGGCGAATACCCCAAGAGGGTAAGATCCCCTGAAAGGAAACAAAAGACTTGATTGATTGTTGGATTTCAGGAACAGATCCAGGGTTTATTTCATTACTAAATGTCTTGCCAGAAAGAAGGAACTGCTAATCAGCCAATCACCCATGAAAAGAATAAACACTGTGTCCCAATGGGCTCCTAATTACTGCTATTGGCTTTTATGATACTAATGTTGGGTTGAAAGGGTTGGTGGATTAAATATGACTGAGCTTGATCTTTGGATGTTACATCTTACACTGGAGTGCTGGTGGGTTCCTTCTGGAACATTACAACTCAGCAATTTGAAAAAGCACTTTTTAACACAGCATTTTATATTTCCTGTGTGTCCTAAATACAGGCTCCCTGAGGGAGGGATGATATTTCTGTAGGAACAGTAGTGATCTTACGCAAAGTCTTTACATACTAATCCACAAGAGCAATCAATAATAATAATCTCCATGTAACTGCCTCTGTGATTCAAGCACATGTTCTTCAGAGGAATTTCTGACATCAAACATAAAGATCAAAGGTGCAGACATTGTAGACATTCTATTCTTGGACACCTGCAAGGACATCTTCTGACATCAGAAACCTCAGGGAGGCAAGTCAGCTACAGACATATGCAGACAATTATGCTCTAGCAACAAACCTGATCATATAGATTGTTTACATTTGAATGACAAATCTGGTTGTGTTGTTCCCTATAATTGAAAAAAGAATGCCGAAACTTGCAGTAGATTCAGGATCATATTCAGTGGTTTTATATAAAAGTGTTAATCAATGTAGAGAAATTCAATATCAGCTGAAGGATTGCATGTAGGTGGCTTGGCTGCTGTTCAGATGACCTAATTCTGAGAGTCCTTGAGTTAGAAACTGGACTGGTGATGTTCCCTATTAAAACTCTATATGAGTTGAGTACTAAGCAAAGCAATAAACTGATTAAAAGAATAAATTACTTATTGCATTATGTTATTATTAGCTTTGGCAACTATCAAACACTGGCCAAATATAAGACTGATTCGGGTTCAAATCCATTACTTCTGACCTTGTGCTAAATGAAAGCTTTCCAAAAACCAAGCTAGACTAAAATATTAATTCTTGGCTCCAAATGAGAAAGACGACTCATAGCAAATTGATTCTATAAGCACAAATCTCCCTGAAATTCTTGGCTGAAAACGTGGAACATGAACAATACTTTGGCTCTTGACAGTGGAAAAACTGTTTCCATTTAAAATGTTTGTCATCAGTGTAATCCCATCTTTAATTATAATTAATGTAAGGAGCTTTTATGTGCTGGAATGGTAATGCAGTGCCAAGAGTTCAGCTTTTAGGAAGGAACATGCTTCCGAATTAGAGTGGAGATTGATCTTAAAATGTCTGGAACAAATAATGTATAAAGCTGTCAGAGATACAATGAACTGAAGGCATTACAGTAGCAATAACTGACAGTCAGCAAACATTCTCTGAATGAGTTTTATAGAGAAGTCTTTTTCGCCTGTTTCACTTACTGAACTGTTTTTCATCTTGGGCCAAAATCAATTAAAATTATTGGTTAGACTGTAGTTAGTGCCAGCTATTTTGGCAGTAACTGTACTGTTGTAAGGTTCACCTTAATTTTACCTTATCCACTTTACACTGGTTTGTTAGCACATGTTACTCTTCCCTTGACAAACCAGCAACCTACAGCTGCTAGAGCCATTGCAGAAAGTGACTGGCCAGCACTACAGTGTGGCAATGAGAATGACTTGACAGACAGTTTTGTGCCTCTCAGGAATGATTCCTCTGCTTTCACTGGTTGCTGAAAGGTGCTCAGTAATCAACCTTCACGCTGAGCAGGACTGGAGCTTGGGAATAATAAGAAGCTACAATCTCCATAACTGCTTGCTAAAACAAAATCTTGCTTTTATGGGGAGACAATTACAGGAGACAAAAGACATGCAAGACCTGACAACATAAAGCATTCCTTAGCCAAATTGGAATTTGCATTTTTATCCATAAGAAACATTTATGAAGTAGATTGCTGTAGTCTAGGCTATCATATTTACAAAACAACGTTGTTCCATGGGAATATACCTGGCAGCGGTTACCTCTTATTTTGATAAATAAGCTTATCAGTAATTTTCAAGATGTCTTGAAAATCTTTCTTGATATCAGGGTTATTTCAGAAGGGATCTTACTGATAAAGATAGCAATGAATAACTTTTAAGTATCTAATCCATACATTCGGTAATGTAAAAAACAAAACAAAACAAAACAAACAAAAACCCAGAATTTTCCCAAGTACTCTCTTCCTTCCATCCTGGTTTACCAACAGTGACTGAGATGAATGCTATAAAAATACTTATGTTTCCACGTTAATCACGTACACAGTTATATTTATTGAATCTGCTACAAGGCAGATTTAGGTAAATTTGTAGCAGTATAAAGACTGCTACAGATTATATCTAATTGTCTTAGATCTGAGGTGAGGAGAAAGGTTCATAGGCATCAACAGACAACACTGACATGAAGTTCTTTGCCGCTCCCGGATGTCTTAACATGGTAACAGTAAGGAAACATGAAAGAATTGCAGAATGCAACCAGGAGGAGCTTTCCAAACACTTTGAAATGTCTTTCCTACAGGGAATTTTGGAAAAAAAAATCTGGAAGATGACACAGAATCATAGAATCATAGAATGCTTAAGGTTGGAAGGGACCTCTAGAGGTCATCTAGTCCAATCCCCCTGTAAACGCAGGGTCACCTAGAGCACGTGGCACAGGACTGCGTCCAAGTGGGTTTGGAAGATCTCCAGAGAAGGAGACTCCACAACCTCTCTGGGCAGCCTGTTCCAGTGCTCTGTCATCCTCACTGTTAAAAAAATTGTCCTTAAGTTCCTGTGGAACTTTTGATGCTTCAGTTTCCAGCTGTTTCCTCTAGTTCTGTCAGTGGCCACCACCACTGGCCAGCACCATCCTCCTCACTGGCCTCACCAGGGCTGAGTAGAGGGGCAGGATCACCTCCCTCGACCTGCTGGAGATGCTCTTCTTAATGCACCCCAGGATCCCATTGGCCTTCTTGGCCACGAGGGCACACTGCTGCCTCATGGTCAACTTGTCATCCACCATGATGCCCAGGTCCTTCTCTGCAGCGCTGCTCTCCAGAGGGTCGGTCCCCAGCCTGTACTGGTGTCTGGTGTTATTTCTCCCCAGGTGCAGGACCTTGCACTTGGCCTTGTTGAATTGCATGAGGTTTTTCACTGCTCAGTTGTCCAGTCTGTCCAGGTCCCTCTGGATGGCAGCGCAGCCCCATGGGGTATCAGCTACTCCTCCCAGTTTGGTATCATCAGGAAACTTGCTGAGGGAGCACTCTGTGCCTTCATCCAGGTCATTGATGAATAAACTGAACAGGACTGGGCCAAGGACTGACCCCTGGGGGACCCCGCTGGTGATTCTATGATTCTATGATCAGTAATGGCCACATTTCGGGGCATAGCACATATTAGAAAACAGAACATGATAAAGCGGCAAACACTTAACAACTTAAAGTACAGTTAATAACTTTGAAGAGAAAAAAAAAAGAAGTAATTCACTTCACTGACACTACTGTATTCATAAATACATGCATATACAGCTCCACTACAATATTTGTTGATAGAGCATGCTGACTCTCACAGCAGAGTGTACTCTCCAACCTGAGATTTCATGATACTTGAGTGAGCATACTTAAAATAAAGACAGAGGTCCTTGCTATTCTTTACTGCCTCCGAATACTATTACAGCACCTTTGTATCAGGCACAGAATGCCATCAACTTCTACACATGGACAGGGAGTAATTTAGCACTATGCCATAAGCCAGAAATTTTTCTGAGGTTCATTTGTGAACTGCTTATTGAGACATCAAAGGATACATTATGTATTTAATGGCTGTGCCCTGGCTTTAGCACAACTGCACACTCAGACAACTGTCCTATCCCAAGAATATAGTTATCTGAGTTTAAACTTGAGTTTTTTACTGCATTTTGCTCTACAGCAGTTACTTTACGAACCATAGTATGCTCCTTGCAATCACATGTTCATTAGTTTCTGTCATAGCTTCTCAGATCTATTGGTAACAAATTTAGCTATGGCTTGTGACTCACTGAAAAAAAAGGCATTTATGAAAAGAAGTGTACATATAACTACAGAGATGAAGTAGATACAGTGCTACAGACAGCCTTTTTTACATACTGGAGATCCATTTGATCTCCAATCAAGCTTGAAGCCAGAAGTATTATACAGCCAGACCATATAAACAGGAAGCCATCCAGAACCTACCTAACCTGGTCTGAGAATTAAATCCTAGTAAAAGGCCATGTTGAACCGAATTTCGATCTACTACAACTACTGACCTGCTGCTCCAAGAGCTTGAGAAAGAGAATATAAAAGCTACATATAGTTGTCCAAAATTGTTTCACCACCCTGGCTATAGGCTAACTCTAACAGATGCTGAATGTGGCTAGTAATTCTAGAGAATTTATTGATGCAGGTGTTTGTCTGAATGAATTTAACATTACTATGTGGATAAATATAGCCTTCCTATAGTGCCAGACAAGTGGTTTCAATTAAAGTTGCAGGGTTTTTCTTTTGAATTAAAAAAAAAAGAAAAAAAGAAAAAGAAAATAATTTAAAGTTTTTAAAGTTATGTTAACTCTCAGTTTCTGATATCCCTGGGTCTCAAACTGATCTGAACCACATCGTGTGATAGAAAACAGTAGCTTTAAGAACAATGCACATTTTAGCAAGAAAATCTGCTTATCATGTAGCCTACATTTCCTGCTTTCCTTTCCTTTACACTAGTCTTTCACGAGAACATAAACAGCACTGAGGGCAGAAGTCATTTGCTGTTGTTTTCTGGCCATTCAGTTAGTAGCAAAAGATAATTACGACTTACAGGAAAGGAAGTTGCTGACAGGCCTTGGAAAATTCTGTTTTGCCAGCAAGGAATTTCTGAACTCAACCTACCGTGTCTTGATTCTGGCAGAGAAGACAGTCACATACAAAGCAGTACTGGCGCATCAGGTGCTTTTGGCGTTCACTGGTGGGCATCAGTGATTCAATATAGCTGATGGTGAGCTGGGGGAAGCAAATAAAAAAACAAAGTATATTTTACAAAAATCCCATACTTGGTGTTTGTATATTTATATTTATTTTTGGATAAAATATTTTTGCTGCCTAAAATGAATTTTTATCTTAACAGATGATTTCTTAGAAAAAAAAAGATGACAACAGAAGAGACAAAAATGTTTCATAGAAGAAACACCTTTTTTTTTATATATATTTTCAGATCAATAATGTTCAATATTTTGAATCTGAGGACAATTACCACTATTTTATCTTTTCATTCTACTTTGGAAGAGAGAGAGAGAGAAAGAGAGAGAGAGAAAGAGAGAAAGAGAGGAAGGGAGGAAGAGAGAGAGAGAAAGAAAGGAAGAGAGAGAGGGGAAAGAAAATGAAGGAAAAGAAAGAAAAAGAAAGAAAAGAAAGAAAAAGAAAGAAAGAAAGAAAGAAAGAAAGAAAGAAAGAAAGAAAGAAAGAAAGAAAGAGAGAGAGAGAGAGAGAGAGAAAGAAAGAAAGAAAGAAAGAAAGAAAGAAAGAAAGAAAGAAAGAAAGAAAGAAAGAAAGAAGAAAATAAAAGAAAAGAAAGAGAGAAAGATATTTCCTTTACAATCAATAAAAGAAAGCACTATTATTTGTGCCATTTTAAAACTCCTCACATTGTACAGAATGAAATCCATTGAATTACAGAGAACTCCTTTAGGTTTGTTCGCTTTGATGCTTGCCAGGAATTTCACAGGGCTAACCATTCATAGAAATTGCCATATGTTAAGGAATGTGCTGCGCAGGCACAAACTAATTGTAGAGAAAGAAACAAAACAAAACAAAACAGCCCAGCTCAGAGAAGCACTCATTCACGCATGCTATAGAGTGATTACACTCTACACCCTGCACACTTTGAAACACTCCAGAGAGCTCAAAAAAATCAGGTCATGTTATTTCATCCTGAGCTGAGACACTTCAACTAATTGGGAAAAATTTTTACGTTGTTGGTTCCTAGTTAAATCATGAGAGTCCACTCAAAGAAATTACAGGGAAACCTGACCAATTTGTACTAATGACTATGAACCCCATTGTCAGAAACTGCATTTTGCAAATTAGTGAGCATTCTAATTAAATAGGCAATTAACAAGCAATATAAATAAGGTCTGCAATTGTTCGTTTATTATTACAAGTATAATTTGATTGCCTACTGAAGGAGGACTGAGTTAAAAAGAACATCACCGGGATGGTAAGGTCAAGCATAGAAAAGAATCATAAGCAGAAAGTCAATGGAAAATATAAAATATGGTCTCATAATTGAAGATGAACAGAATAATTCATGAAAGAGCTACACTTAAGGTCTACAGATAAAACTGAATTTCAAACTTTCAAACATTGGATTGTTAGATTTAAAATTCTTAATAATGTTCTTCTGTCATAGCTTCCGCGTGTACTGACTTGAGGCTGGAGTAGTTTCCAAGCCTTAAATGAGAAAATAAAAAACTGAAAATAGGAATTCGATAGTGTCACATCAAATGGTGGGGAAAAGGATATGAATTGTTATCAGAATTTGGACCTTTATGTTTACTCTTCTGACTTCTGCCTCAGAAGTCTAACAACTGTTTGCTAATCTACATGGCTACCACTGAAGGGGGTGAGACAATCTGAGTGGAGGGTTTCACTGCTTTTCTGTGGCAGCACAGAGCAGTGTATGTGAACTGGTGGCTTCCTTCTGAGCTTTCTGCAGCAAATGGGTGCATATTTTTCTATTATTTTTTCCCAAACTTGATCTCTTCTACCCCATAACCTCCACACTGTCCCTCTTGTCTTTATTCTCTGTTCCTGGGCATGAGTATCATTTTCTTTGCTGTAATTCCTCTGCCCAGGTGCACTTATTCTGCATCCTTCTTTGTGAGAAGAAGAATCTGTCTCCCTTTCTACTTACATGCTCATTTCCAGTTGGCCTGTCCCAATCTTATTCTTCAGCCATTCCAAGCCCAATACCTCTCCCAGCACAAACCTCTGAAATTAATATCTCTTTGAAACTCTCAATTGTTGTCTATGAAAATCATAGCCCATACTGCCTTGTTCCTCCTCTCTTATTCTCTTTGTACTTACATCATGAGTTCTGATCAGTGGTGGGTCCTCCTGCGCTTTAGGTTCATGCACCATCCAAAAATAAA